TATATATATATACACACACACACACACACACACACACTTTTGTGTGCGTGCGTGTGTAAATAAATAAAGTTTAAAAAATGTAAGATGAGGCTGAATTAAGTTCAGCAGTCTGACAGCTACTCTGAATGCTCCTCAGCCGCCTGCTTAGGGGTGCTGAAACAGACTGTGGCAGGATGAGTGGAGTCCTTCATGATGCGGAGTGCCTTCCCCCTGCATCGTGGAGTGTAGAGGTCCGAGGTGGTGGGACGGCTGCTCCCCACAGTCCTACATCGGGGAAACTAAACAGCCACTGGCCAAAAGGATGGACCAGCACAGAAGATCAACATCATCAGGCCAGGACTCTGTGGTCTAGACTCATCTCCAGGTCAGCGGTCACTCTTTTAGGGATGAAGATATTCACATCCTTGATAAAGAGGAGCTATGGTTTGAGAGAGGAGTAAAGGAGGCCATCTTTGTGAAAAGAAACCGTCCATCATTAAACAGGGGTGGAGGCCTCCGTGTTCAACTGTCCCCCTCTTACAATGCTGTTATTGCTAGTATCACTCAGCCCTCTGTGAATAACAAGCAGCCATCAGGGCACTTATGACCAATTGTTAGGCTGATGGTCTTCCTCCAGCATGTGAACCACTAGTTCTGGATGTCAACAACAAACTGGTTGATCCACTATGAGAAGGTGCTATTTTTAAGACTGAGTTTGTTGCAGCTCCTCAGACTGAAGAAGTCTTTTGGATAAAAACTAAACATTTCAACAAAGAAGAATTTGTCCAGAGGACCTGACTCAACCTTGTTAGACCTAATGGTGCAGTTTAGCTGAATCTCTGTAAAATAATTAGAGTCAACTCGGACAAAACTGGCAGCATTTTTGTAAATTCATTTGAAAAACACATTTCCAGCCTGAACCTAATTATGAAGTTCATCATTAGTTTTTTTTATCATGCACTTTTAGTTCACTTTTTCCATCTTAAAAGACAAAATGAAGCAATTTGGTTGTATTGTTTTCTTGATGAGGGTTGCACAGAGCTTAAAAACTGAAGCTGCTTCAGATTTTTCTGCATTCTGATGAAGAAAGAAATGGGCACTGCATCAGTCCAACAACACACACTCATCCTTCATCCATCCATCCATTTCCTTTACCAGCTTTTGGTTCAGGGTTACAGAGGAGCTGGTGACAGACAGTCACTGCGAGAGGCAGGGAATGGACCTAGGGACCATTTAGAGTTACTACTCTGTAGTTAACCCAACCTGAATGTTTTTGGTCTGTGGGATGAAACCAAAGGAACTACAGAAAACCCATGCATGCAATGGGAGAACATGAAAACTCCACCCAGTAAGGTTGCAGGCTGGAAAGTGATGCTGTGACCTTCTTTCTGTGAGAGGACAGTCCTGACTACTGCCTTTCTGTGCCGCCCACAACACGTAAGTTATAGATAACTTATATTATTTATAAAAACATAAGTAAACATTGATAAGGCTGGACATTTCCTGGCTGTCATTTAATGGCTCCACTGTATAGTTGTTCAAACTTTGATATGAACTATGTTTGAACGAGTTAGTTTGAATGAACATGTCTGGTCTGTACCTTCACACATATATTTCTGTAGTTAGAGGCAGCGTAGTATTTAATGTTAGTATTGGAGACTGTACCTTGTGTTCTTCGTACTTCTTCTGTAGAAGTTTGTCTCTTATCCCAACACACTGTTTTAGAAGTCGCAGGTCTGCATTGGGAAATATCTTTGACAAAAAGAGAAATGTAGCACATTTATTATCATGATACAACACAAAAACACACAAATATCTACAACACATTTTGCTGAAATATTACTAGGCTGTATTTAAAAAGTGCATTTAGTAATCCTTATTGTCTTTTCCAACTAAAATAGAACTGGACTGTCATGTTAAGTTGATAAATACCCTCCTCTGCTTCAATATACAAATGTGTGGTGCATTTAAAATATAAAAATGCATTTATTAAAATCAGTCATATTTTATTAAAAAAATGTGTGGATCCAAACCAGTTAAAACCTTCATTGTTAAGAAATGCTCTTTAAACTTTGGAACAGGTTTGACCCTCTTAACATCTGTCTCTAGAAGTTCAAATAAGACACAGATATAAACTGATACTAACCTCAAGCCACAGGCATTGGGAAAAGACATCCCGCCCTTTTCACTTCATTATGTTTGTATATTAGGACATAACGGGGGTCTGATCTTTACCAGGTTTGAAACTTTAAGGTGTATTGGTGACCTGATCAATATCAGGGTGAACACCTCTATAAATACAGGAGCTTTGTCAGTTTGTTGCTTTGGAGCATAACATGTGTCAATACAATACCAAGAAGGAAAGACATCAGCAATGACCTTAGAGAAGCAACTGATGCCACCTATCAATCTGGGAAGGGTCAAAGGTCATTTCCACCTTACCTAGAGTCTACCATTTTACAGGGGGAAAGCTTACAAGTGGAATACATTTAAGATGTTCCCTGGAGTGAACATCCCAGCAAGTTCACCCTGTGGTCAGACAGTGCAGTGCTCAGAGGAAGTACCAGAAACCGTAGAGCTCCATTCTCAGACACTACAGGGCTGAGCAGGTAGAAGTTCACAGGAGGAGAATTTAAATAACAACAAAATGACAGACTGAACATGTATGACCTGTTTGTTGGGGTTGCCAAAGCCTCTTCTCTTTTAAAATAACATGGCACCACAACTCACTTCATCTGAGTGGATCATAAAACATTTGGAAGAATGTCCTTTGGACAGATGAGAACAGATGTTTGCCCATAATGTACACTTGATATAGATTTGCATAATTTGAGAATCTGATCAGATCATTCATATTAATACATTCTGATACATAAAACACTACAACTGACAGACCGTAGACTTTTTTATTACTTTATTCTGGCAACATATTTGGTCTGATTATAATATATTTATATATTTATTAATAATAATATTTATTATTATTTATATAATATATTTACAATCAAATCAGTGGAGTTCATGCATTTATTGGCAATAAAGAGTTGTTCAAATATTTAATGATCTGTTGTTTTTCTGTTCATACCTCCACTTGTCACATTACAAGCATGCCGTAAATGTTTCTTTCTGCAGTGGTCGTGTAGACCAACCTGTAACCAGGGGAAGATGTCTACAAGACCGTCTTTGGCCACCGTGTCCACGATGCCCTGGCTGTAGCGCAGCATGGCTTCGAACTCTGGGTCTCCACGACAGTAAGACGAGTTGAAGCAGAGGGAGCAGACAACGTTAGTGACAGCCCGGGTCAGCTCAGGAGACAGATCCAGCGCCAGTCCAACAGCTGCTGCCCCAGACACGGTGTTGCACAGAGACTGGGCCTCTGCACAGACTGTGACACAACACAAAAAGGTGTAGCCCCTTCAGTTAGTTTGAGATTATTTTTGCCTTTTCAGTTAATTTTCAGCTATATTGTGCTAATTTCAGCTTTTTTTTTAGCTAATTTTCTGATTTTGTGCACATCTCTGTTTATTTAAACCAAATTCAGCAAATATGTGTTCTTTCTGCTTTATTCTGCTAACTTTGGCTTGTTTTTCCATTTCAGCTGCATTTCAGCAGGTTCTTCAGCAATAAGCATTCACACTGCATTTTCACAAGAAATGCAATTTCTCTAGTTTATTTTAAAGTTGTTTGAAATGTTTCTAACAAGATTAAGTGAGGTCCTCTGGACATATTCTTTTTGTTTAAACATTTCTTCTTCGGTCCAAAAGACTTCTTGAGCCTTTTTAAATGTATGTTACAAAAGTGCAGACTTTGTTTGTTCCATTGACCCTGAGTGCAGTTGTTCACATGAAACTGTACCATTTGAGCATGATGATAAGCTCAAGTGTAAAAGTCACATTGTTTCTGCTGTTTATTATTTTCTATTATCATGAAAGGCGGGTGATCATGAAATTGTCATGAAATTGTGTGTGTGTATATGTTTGTTAGCAAAATAAATCATAAACCAGTGGACTGATTTAACAAAGCTTTCAGAAAGTAATGATTAACTGGTAAAAAAAAAAGTCAATTTAGTTCAAGATGGCTGCCACAGCTTACCAACTTTCAATTAAACATTTTTCAGTCAGGTCATCTGGTCATCTGATGACCTGACTGAAAAATGTTGGATTGTATACCTGGATTATTGAGCATGGACTTTGTTGTCAACTTTCACTTAGTTTTTCAGGCATGGAGCTAAGACTTAGTGTGGTATTGGCTGAAACGTATTTTAAGTTCACAGGTTTGGGGGAGAACTTATTCACATGCATTGCACAATATTGTTAGTTTCAAGATTTAAATGTCCATTTTTTTCTGTATAAACAGACAAATTATCTTATTTATCTTGGTTTAAAACTTGTGCAATTTGCATTGTTGCAAGTAATGTAATCTTGTAAAGTTATCTTTAATTCAATATTTTTGTTTAGGTCTGCCACTTTCTGTATCTGTTTCAGAAAAATCACAGTATTTAAAAAAAAATGTTGGCTCCCCAGTGTTTTATTTTACTCTGAATTTTTCTTTCATTATTAAACCTCAGTACCTGGAATTAGTTGTTTTTTTTTTGTCTTAGGTAATCTAAAAGCAAAAAGGCTAACAGCTGATGACAACATAACTTTAAAATCAGTGTTGTAAATCCATGAAAAAGCTGATTTTAAACAGTGACTCAACATATTCACTTCTGTGCCTATATCCTCTATATACTATGTAGTTTAGTACATAGTATATGGAGGGTACATGTATGTATTTTAAAGTATATGGAGGGTACATATACTATGTAGTTTAGTACATAGTATATGGAGGGTACATATATGTATTTTAAAGTATATGGAGGGTACATATACTATGTAGTTTAGTACATAGTATATGGAGGGTACATATACTATGTATTTTAAAGTATATGGAGGGTACATACACTATGTATTTTAAAGAATATGGAGGGTACATATAATATGTATTTTATAGTCTATGGAGGGTACATATACTATGTACTTTAAAGTATATGGAGGGTACATATACTATGTACTTTAAAGTATATGGAGGGTACATATACTATGTACTTTAAAGTATATGGAGGGTACATATACTATGTACTTTAAAGTATATGGAGAGTACATATACTACGTATTTGATGATCAAATTAAAAATAAAAAGTTAAATGTTTGAATCCTTATATATAAGTGTAAAATAGTAATTGTTACAGCAGTATGGTATTATTTCAGCAGCAGGCTGACAGGGTTAGCATCTCTGTTTTCAAAAATACATGTATTTTAATTCAATTTAAAGTTTTTGTTTTAATTTTGTGAAACTGTGTTATTTTTGCTTATGGTTGTACCATCAGAACTTCACTGTATACTTACTGTACCTGTTCGTTTTATGTTATCTGTTCTTGTGGAATATTTGTTGAGATGTGTTCTCAAAAACTTTGCCACGTTTGAATTTTGCACAAAAAAAACTGGTGAATGTAGTTCTTTAAACTCTCTTGGCAGCCGGCTATTGTAACATGAACAAACCACACTCATCTCTGACCCGTTTTCATCCATCAAAGCATTACTTCAACTCAAAATGACATCATTACTTCTGTCCACGACACAAATGGAAATATTAAAGTCCATGTGGGGAGTTTATTGGGTGTAAGCATTTGCCTAACAGTTATTCTGCCTCTGGTTAGGTTACAGTAACATTTAGCAGGGCTGTGGGACAATACTCACTGATCCTCTCGAGGGAGGCAGAACCTTCTCCAAACATGCAAAGAGCTCCATGCACTATTTTCCTGTGAAACCTCCAGGCAGCACTGTAGTCTCCAAATGCAATGTCTTTCCCGTCTCTGGTCAGAATATCTGTGGTCACCTTTTACACACACAAAGATTACTACTGCAGAAGCGGTGAAGAAGTTGAAGTATTTCAGTAGATCTATACATACAGTTCTGGGTCTTCCTGCAAACGTCTTCCCCCTCTTCAGCAGGACTTCTTTGGCGTGGATGTGCTGGTTGACGATGATGACTCTGTGGGAACCCATCATCAGAGAAAACGTCTGTCCATACTTTTTCTGCAGCTCCTTGAAGAGCACATGAGGAGCATGAGGACTTTGCAGACTCAGCAGGCTGCCAATCAAGGGTAGCGCTGGGAGGTGGGGGGGCTCCTGGGGGCCATGTAAGGACTTCAGCTGCCAAGCAAACACAGCCAGGACTACGAGCACAAAAACAACGAGACACAAAAACCAAGACATAGCTGCGTCGAGAGGTCTGCTTCAGCTGTGGCCATGCATCTCAGCAAAGAGCTGCGAGAGACAGAGCAGAGTCGATGCAGGCTACACTTTTTATGCATCTACGTCAATGCCAGAGCCTTGACTCCGACTACTGAAGACAGGCCCAAATTAAACAAGATAAGAGAGGCTCGTCTCACTGAGGCCTTGAAGAAAACCAGAGAGGCATTATTGGTCTCTTTCAACACGGTGCCAGAAATTATTGGACAAACTGTTTTATTGTGTCGTTTTAGTCATATCTGGGAATAAACCACCTTGCACCAATCATCTGAATAACTGATTATTTGCAAATTTTGATTTTAATAAAAATATACTGACCCTAAACTGAATTCTGCTGGAATATTCCTTAAGCTTGGTGTGCGAGTTTTAGCACCAGTAAAAGAAATACTGCTTCTTTCTAAAGCTTAGAAACCATTTTAACTGACCGGGGTCAGCTGGGGTCCTTCCTCAGGCTTTCTTGTGTTCTTATTTTTTGTTAAAAAAGAGATGCAGTTTATTTTCCTCGTCTCTACCTCTCTTTTCTTTATAGCTTTTCTTGAAGAAAGGCAGAACCCCCCCAGCACTTTCCTGTCAGAATTTCAGACTCAAATCATCTCATGGTAAGAAATGATAGTTAACCATTAAGGGTGAATTTATTAAATACGTGTGGTGGGACACAATAACACCAGATCTGTTAGTGTTCATGTGTGTGTTGCAAGAGACTCAACTGCGTCAAAATTTACCTGTAAATACCTAATAAAATATCTGTAAAATGGATGTAATTACAACCATTCTTCTGTTTTCTAAGGTCAGCTAGTTGTTACAGCCATCTTGAATGGGGGTGAATGTGAAAGCTTATGTTCTAAAAAAATCTATTGATTTTTCAAAAGGTTTATTCAAATTTGTTCACTTGTTCAAACAATATTTTGCTAACAGACAGACACTGTGTCAGAGTCTGAAGTAAAGATCCCATGGAATGTGTAGCGCTCACAGAAAGTGTTAATATGACCCCCAGCTACAACCACACCACATCTGAGCCCAATCTTTGTCAAAATTACCAAATTATAAATTTTTTTTGTTTTTTCTATGCTCAGTTGGCTGTGTCAGCTATTTTCATGAATTGGGTTAACTTGAAGAAATACTCAATTGTAAGTATACATCCAATGGTTATTTTCTGAGTTTCATCAAAATCTTTGCTCATGAGATATTTTGCTAACAAACAATTAACACAGACAATGGCATCAACATTATCACCTACATTTTAGTTAGTAAGTATGTTATGCATGCTTGCTGTGTGGTTTTGGAACATTTCTAAGATGTTCATCTAATCATGATTTTCCACATGGAACTACATGTGAAAAACATGTTAAATTCATGTATTTTTGTAAAATAAATATCTTTACTTTGTGTTTTAAAAAGTTGTATATTTATGTTATTTTTTAGTTTCTAGTTTTATGTTGTTCCTGTTCTATTTGTCTTTACTGAAACAACTTGTACACTTGAACAAAGCTTACTTATCCTACATTGTCATTGTAAAAGTGTGACTCACAAATATTTCCATTGATTAATTGATTGTCTTCAGGTCAGAGAATGTCCACATGCTCTTTGACATCTTTATTCAGTTTGTCACGAAAAAAAAACTTTCTATGTCTTCACAATAGTCAATTTTTTTTTATATAAATCTGATTTAGAAATGTGCAGAAAGGTAAATAAATCACCCTAAACGTAAATTATGTAAATTAAAGGCTGAGAACTGGTCGACTGCAAACTGAACAGTTTCAAATGAACCTGTAGCCATGGCTTGCGCGTTGCTGCATGCTTTTTGTCCCTCACCGCTCACTGTCGCTTGCCAAAATAAAAGATGGCGTCGGCTGACTCGCAGCCGCGGTTCGGTCAGTCTGTTAAAGGTTTATTATCCGATAAAGTTGGCTCATGTAGCGGCGATGTGATCGCTCTGACCCGCCAGGTGTTAAAAGGATCCCGTAGCCAAGAGGTAAGGCGACACTTTCCTTTAATCCCGCATGTTACTGACCGTGTTACAGTCTGGACCGGGCAAAACAGGAACAAGAAGTGATTTTCCTTTCAAAATAAAGGAATTTCCGTTTTACCCAGTATGATTTGTCAGTTAAAAAACTGAGACACTGGTGGTGGGGTCTGGGGGTCCTCCCCCAGAAAAGTTTGAATTTGTAGATAGATGTTTAAAAACCCATAAAAATACACCAGAATGCAGGAAATGGTATCTATGTTTACCATAAGTAAACACTTGATTCAGTAACTGTTTTAGAGTTAATGGCACAACAAGAAGTAGTGCTAAGCTAGTGGCACTCAGTACAGCTGTGCTAGCTAAGATGCTAGAGACATAGCACTCCGATTTACATTACATTCACTCATTCAACCTGTGTTTATACAGGTTAGTCTCATTGAGTCACGAGGACTCATTTTCAAGAGAGACTTGTTTTAAACGAATAAACACAGATGAGGTACACACAACATAGAGTCATAAAAATCCTGATGCATGCTCAATAATCCAGGTAAAAAAAATTAAAAATTAAATCTGGTCCTCTGGACATTCACAAAACAACAACAAAAAATAAAAAATGTAGAAACATTTCGTCTTTCGGATGAAAGACGAAATGTTTCTACTTGTTGTTGTTGTTGTTGTTGTTGTTGTTGTTGTTGTTGTTGTTGTTGTTGTTGTGTTGTTGTTGTGTTTTGTTTTGTTTTGTTTTTTGAATGTCCAGAGGACCAGATTTAACTTTTTTGAGTCATAAAACGCATTTAAAACGTATACTATACATAAAAATGCATATAAATCAGACACAACTTAATAAACGCTTTGTACAAAAACAGTTCAGTGTTAACTGATCATAAACAAAGAATAAACATGTGCAACCAGAAGTTGCAACATAAATATCGACATTTAAAACACAAAACAAAGCACAACTAGCTTTAAATATTAATCTTAAATGTAACCAAGTATCTAATTATGACAAAAAAATGGAGGATTTACCTGCAGTTGCCTTCCTGCAGAGGAACATGTGGTACTTCCTGTTTATCACTTGTTAGAAAGAAACAAACTATAACAGAACTTAGCTCAGTAAAGACAACTACAAATGAACAATGTGGGCTTTCTAAGTTTTATAATTCTTATGCTCTTAAATGCACCATAGCGGTTCTGACGCTTGTGAACGCACCACTCTGTGTAAAAATGTGCTGTATTATTTTTCTGTCCCGTCACAGACAGAATTTTGCATTTGAGCATTTACCTACACTTTCTCTGTTCTGCCAGAAGAAACACAGCAAATAAATGAACCCTGGAGGTATCTGTGTTCTTTAATGGGATACAACTTCATACCTGCAGCTCTAAACCAGTTAAATTCCTGGAGAACACCAAATCTCTCATTTTTATCATCACTGTTGTATGCAGCTGCTCGTGAGGTCGACTGGGAGGGCTTTATTCAATTTTACATTTTCCAGACTCTGTTTAGGTTTTGGAAATGGAATAAACTATATTCCACCTTCTAAACGCTCAGGCTGACACAGTCTGAATTGCATGTTCTCCACTGACAATGTTTAACTATTTTTTCTGATGATTTTTCACGAAATCCCTCTGACCTGCCGCAAAGAGTCCTTTTCACTTCGGGACAAACTGAGGTCACTGATTGGTCAGTTGCTGACACGCAGTTGCTGGTTTGATTGACAGGTCGCGTGGAGGATCCGACTCTTGCAAATAAAATTATAGATTTTCCTGGCCTGTTTAAGATTGTCGTCATTTATTCCACATTCATTCCAAATTTATTCAATATTTTTGGTGAATTTAAGTTTAGAGAAGTTTCCTTACAAAATCCTAATGATGGTTTCTTTATTCTTCAGGGGTGCTGAGTTAAATTTTAGAGGTGCTTCAGCACCCCCCAAAAAGAGGCTAAAATCACTGCTTTTCACTCTTGTTTGTGTTTGGTCTTTGGCAACACAATTTTGTGTTTACATCTACACAACATCAGGATTAGTTAGTTTTGTGTGCGTTTCCACCAAAACAGACAGATATTAATAAAATGCCTTTAGCATGTTTACCAGCACACATCTGGACTCCCAGGTATACTTCTTCAACATGGGAACTGGACCACCACAGTGTTCAAATATTAATTCAAAAGCCCCTAAAAAGCTCCAAATAAATAAAAATTATTTGCCTTCAACGATGCAAGCACATGACAGAAGAAAGCTGGACAGAAACGAAGGAACAATCTGGTCAACAGACTTCACAACATTGTTGATGTACAGTTTGTAGATCAAATATTGGGTGGGAGTAGCTGAGCATTGTCCCCAACACATACTCTGAGCATTAAGCTTTAGCATCAACCCTGTCTGTCTGTTGGTAACATCTCATGAACCATCCATCATCTTTACCCACTTTTTTCCTTTTCGAGTCACTGGTGCTCATGTCCAACCATCACAGTTTGAGAGGCGGGGGACACCCTGGACAGGTCTCCAGTCCATCACAGGGACACATAGAGACAAACAACCATTCAGTCTCTCGCTCACACCTAGAGACAATGTAGAGTTACCAATCAGTCTAACATGCATGTTTTTGGTCTGTGGGAGGAAACCGGAGTACCCGGAGAACACCCACGCATGCACGGAGAGAACATGCAAACTCCACCCAGAAAAGCCCCTGGCCGGGATTTGAACCAGCGACCTTCTCGCTGAGAAGCAACAGTTTTACCAACTGAGCCACTGCACTGATTTTACTAAAACTCTCAGAAGTCACTGGATGTGCATCTACAGCTGATTACCTTTTGAAGTCGACCTAATTCAAGGTGACCATCACAGCCAACCAACGTTAGTCAACACAAAAATATCTACAGTCTGTTACAGATACTGAGCTCAAGATTATTGTTGTAGGAGCTGAGAGTCATCCTCAACTCAAACCTATACACTAAGCACTCGTAGTATAAAAACATTACGTTGAACAGCAAACATGAGTCTGTGTGAGCAGATGAGTACGAATGAACACGGCAACATGAAACAGATCAGCAGCCACATAAAAAAGATCAGCAGCATGATGTGATTCTTTTCACAGTGATTATTCTGGTTATAGATTCATGAGTCTAACGGCATCGGGGTAGAAGCTGTTGCTCAGTCTAGTGGTTCTACACTTTATGCTCCTCACCTCCTTCCTGAGGGGAGCGGGGCAAAAAGTGTGTGTGCTGGGTGAGCAGGGTCCTTCATGATGCAGGTGGCCCTCTTGCTGCATCTGGGGGTGTAGATGTCTGTGATGGTGGGGAGGATGACTCCAGCAGACTTCTGTGCAGCCTTCACCACTCTGCAAATGCACTCTTCATAAATTCGCATCAGAAGATGATTTTAGGTTGAAAGTCAGCCAGTAAAAGACAGTGGGTCAAATGCATTTCTTCAAGGAATGCTACCAAGGAATGAAACCTTTTTTATTTCTTGTTGTTTTTATGTAGCAGTAGTGTTTTTTTTTTTTTTGTTGTTTTTTTTTTACAACTGTCCTTACATCCTGAAGCTATAAAAAATGCTTTGCAGAATACTGTTTAAGTCTTTCTCAGCCAATCTAAACTCTGCTAATCTGGTGCTAATTTCTCTTAAAGCTTCTTGGGCAAGCAGCAAGGAATATGGTCCTTCAGGAGGACGCCATTCTGCACTCTGAAGATGTAAGTTTTTACTTTTCTGTTCATTGTGTGTGACACAAAGACTCTCTGTAAGTTACATAGACGCAGATGTGTCCAATTCAGAATAGTTAACACTCTTGTTGTTGATTCTCCAGAGTCTGAGGAAAATGTCTATTATCACCACACATTTACAATACCAGTGAGTATCGAATACAGCTGCATGCCATCTGTAATGATGCTGAAATTATCTATTTCTATTCAAACTGTCAGTCCTGTTTAAACAATATGTCCATTTGTCTCCCACAGGCAGGAGGCCATTCAGAAGAAGTGAGTGTAACCACAACAGTTTAGGCTTTAAAGAAAACAGCTGACATCACTGTCTGAGGGGGACGTCACAGCACAAGCTGACAATCTGCACGTGTTCTCTTGTGTCTCCCTCCTCCAGTGTGGAGCACTCGAAAAACCTACAGGACCAGCTGAGCCACCTGCTGAAGTGAGAGGACACTGGACTGACCATGAGGAGTCCAGTGGTCCCACTGTCTGGAAGCTGCACTGTTTTATACATTCGTCCACTGCTGGCCTGGACTGAAGGGACCGGCACGTTCTGTTAGTTTGTCCTACAGACACAAAGCCTGTGCACGTTTGGTACTACAAGTTGTTGACATACACTTGTGTTCAGGCTCATCCACTCATCATGGGCATGGATGCTCCAATAAATGTGGGGCTTTTAAGAATTTATTTAAACCCTACTTTTCCCTGTGTACACACATTATACAATAAACATACACTTATGATTTAAAATGAGATTCAGGTGCACAAGTTAAATTTATTGTAGATTACATGATCAAAATTATATTCAGACTCAAAATATGTATACACATAAACGAATATTTGGGTAAATGTCCCATGAGAAGTTGCACCTGGACCACAGGCTTTTTCTGTCCATCATCAAACTTCTGGTATTCTGGCTGGTCCAACAAAGTGCAGTCATTTTCTCTGGATGTTTTTTTTTTTTTTTTTTTTTTTTTGTTGAAACGTTTCGTCCTTCATGCAAAAGACTTCATATGGTTGATCCACTATGTGAGTATGCTACTTATAAGACTGAGTTTGTTGTGGCACCTCGGACTGATGAAGTCCTTTGGATGAAGGATGAAACATTTCTACAAAAACAAACCGTCCAGAGGACCTGACTGAACGTTGTTGGATTTATTACCTGGATTACTGAGCAAGAACTTTGATGTTCTGGCTGATACTAGAAGACTTTTCTTGATGGAGTTCATTTAAGTTGGTTGTTTTCCTGGCAGAGATCTGGCTTTTTAAAAATACTCCTCTCTTCTACAGGGCTGAGGTTGTGGCTTGTCTTCAGAGCTCTGTTCTGATGAGTGTTTGGGACCACGGTCCTCTTGGAACACCTAATGTGACCAAGCTTCAAACATCTACTTGTCGATCTGAGTTTAGATGAAGTATTTGGAGTTTGTCCTTTTAAAAAAAAAATGATTCCATGTACTTTGTGCAGTGCACCAAAACCACAGCTTGATGCTACCACCACCATGCTTTACAGTTGGTACACTGAAAGGTTCGTCTCAGCTCCAGTCATCCTTGTCATTGTGGCCAAAAAGCTTTTTCTTTGTCTTGTTTGTTTGCCAGCAGCACCCTCAGTCTGTGATATAAAACTGGCTTCACTGTGGACAGGGACACTGGTGTTCAATGAGTTGCTGGTTCTCAGCAGGTTGTAGCCATGGTAGATCTTGGGTTGTTTCTGAACATCCCAACTAACTTCTTCAGATGAGTACTGATCAGTCCACCGAGAGCTTCTGCATGCTGGGAAAGAGAAACTACAGCTGCAGTCAATCTTGTTCACCAGTGAGACGTTAACAGGCCCCGTCTTTATCAAATGAGGACGTTTTAGAACGTTCAGCACCACCTCTCAACAGATTTAGGTGAACATATGTATATATTTGAGCCTGTATGTATAGTTTTGACACTTTGTGGATTACAGGAAATCACATTCAAATGTTTGCCTCCAATTCTTGTTTTGAAGAATCATAATTTGCTTGTTGTCTGGAAAAAATAAATGCATTGAAAGAAATCAGCCCAAATGGCATTCATCATGTTCACGAAGAGTGGATGGAAACCTCTGAGCACAACTTTTAGAATAATTTTAGGAGTGGTAGAAGAAGTGGGATCAAACACACAGCTGTCTGAGGAGCGGCTGAAAATTAGCTTTATAAGAAACAACTGAAACTGGTTAGACTGGAAATCTGCCACTCCTGTTGTGTCGGTAAAGATTTTACTATGTTACATGTCTTGATGTGAAATGTTTGTCTTTATAAATGTTTTCTGTAAAACAACTGATGACAGTAAAAATGATCAACGTATTTGCATTTCTAAAATATTAATACCTTGACCTGAAGTTGTAAATGGACTGTAGCTCTGCAGCACCTTTCTCTGATCAAGACACTCAAAGCTCTTGACAACAATCTGTGCCCCATTTACCCATTCATACAGCTCTATACTAGATCTATACAAAGATTAATCAGAGCTTTAAATCAGGGGTTCTCCAACTTGTTGGGTTCAGGGACCCCCTCATAACTCTCATGTTTATTAAATAAGTTTATTAAATATGTCCCTTTAATGCAGTGGAAATATTTGTGTAACATAAATACTTAAGACCTGTTCTTAAACAATTTTTTTTATTTCAGCTTCCAAAAATGACAGTTTTGACAAAATTAACAGGATCAAAAACCACTTTAAAACTTTACCTGTTCACATATGAACATAATAAATATATCTTCAAAATTATTACATAACTCTTTACATCAAACAACAGAATCAGAACAGCAGTGTCAGACAAGAAACGGCTTCATTTGAAAACTGATTGATGCCAGAATGCAAATAGTGGGCGGGGGGGGGGGGGGGGCTCCTCCCCCAGAAAAGTTTGAATAATTAGATGTGATTTCCTGCATTGTTGTGTATTTTAATGGGTTGTTAAACATCTATGTGCTTGTTATTTATTTTGTGGACCCCCCAAGTACTGGCTTGCAAACCCCCGGGGATCTGGGGACCCCAGTTTGAGAACTACTGCTTTAAATCACATTCCAACACCAATGAGACGCATCCGAGGCAATGAGGCATTCAGTGTCTTGCCCAGAGTCACTTCAGCATGTAACTGCTGGTGGAATTGAACCCTCAACTCTCATTGGAGGACAACTGCTCTAACCACTGACCCACAGCCGCCCCAGATTTAGTGTTTTATCATGTTTTTTTTTCCTGACCTATATAAAGTGTAAAAGTGCCTTGAAGTCTGTTGATGAATGTAACTAGTTTATAGTTAAAAAATAATTTGTTGGTCCTGATGGTGGCTTGAAAGTTTGATCAGGTCAAGGACCCTGAACGCCTCATTCTGGTTTGATTCAGTGGTAGACTGGTTGAGTAAAATCCAGAATCCCTCCCACAACTCAAGCATCCTTGGCAGAGATTGTGTCCCGTAGTCCCTGATGTGATTATCTGTGTACACGTCATAACAAAAGTGTGTGTGTGCGTAGGGGTGTGTGTAAGAAGCAGATTATAAAGTGCTTTGCTAAACCCAAGTGAAGTTAAGAAGATGCATTTCCAACTTGATGAGCAGCTAGAATTCAACATTGAAATTATAAAAGTCATCCTTTGCTGAAAGAGTTAGTTTTTTTTATTTAATATTTGTATAAAATATAATTATTTGTCAAAACAAATGGAGTTGTGTTTCTGCTTCCACTGTAGAACTGCACTTCCACTGTCAGACAGTGGAGTTCAGAGAACCTTCAACCCAGGTCCTCACCTGAAAGGTATGACTTTTACTGGAAGCCATTACAAGCTGTTCATGCACATTAAAACGTTGGAAGCATTGGTTTTAGGGACACTCGGCCAGATTGGGAAAACAAACAGCTCAGATCTTGTGACGAGAGGTTCTGTGCAAAAGATATGAACACTTAATATCTTACCTGTTTAAGATGGTTCTTTGAAGGATCTCAGCTTGAAGTGTTTAATTCTGATTGAATTGACAATCATCTCTCCATTATCTTTTACCCGCATCTTCCATTTTGGGTCACGGGGGTCGCTGGTGCCCATATCAATCAATCACTGTGCGAGTGGCGGGGTACACCCTGGACAGGTCTCCAGTCCATCACAGGGACACATAGAGACAAACAACATTCTCTCACTCACACCTAGAGACAATTTAGAGTTACCAATCAGCCTAACATGCATGTTTTTGGTCTGTGGGAGGAAACTGGAGCACCCGGAGAAAACCCACACATGCACGGAGAGAACATGCAAACTCCACCCAGAAAGGCCCCTGGACTGGGGATTTGAACCAGGGACCTGCTCACTGAGAGGCAGCAGCTCTACCAGTTGTTCCACCGTGCTGCTCTGGACAATCAGTCTGAGCAAAATCTAAAATGAATATTTCACAGGTTGGGCATCTCTGGTCTGTGGCCGTAGTTATGCATTACTCGCTCTATCTATCTATAAAATAAGATTAGACATGAACAACAAAGTCCGTGCTCAATAATCCAGGTATAAAATCCAACATTTTTCATTCAGGTCATCTGGACAGTTTCTTTTTTTTTTGTGCTGAAATGTTTTGCCTTAGATCCAGAAGGCTTCATCAGTCAAGGAAACACACAACACAAAACTGATTCTTCCTCCAACAGCTTACTCCAAAGTGGAACAAACCAGTTTTGCTTGTGATAAGATGGTCTCTTTGGTACGGCCCCTCCTCCATTGCCGGCCCTCTTCCTTGTTGACAGTTTTGTCAAACTGGTTGAAAACAACTTCGATCCAGAAGGCTTCAAGGAAACACACAACAAAACTGATTCTTCCCCCATTAGCAACAAAACAAACATTTTATCACAAGAAAAACTAGTTTGTTCCACTTTGGAGTAAGCTGTTGGGGGAAGGATCAGTTTTGTGTTGTGTGTTTCCTTGACTGATGAAGCCTTCTGGATCGAGGGCGAAATGTTTCAGCATAAAAAAGAAACTGTCCAGATGACCTGACTGAAAAATGTTGGAAGACTGGACATGACACACAATTGGCATGAAATATTTATTTAAAATAAATTATTTTACGTTATTTAGCACCTCTGTGCAGCCCATACTACAGGAGAAACTTCCTCCTGCAGCTGATCTGCATGCAGAGTGGAGAAGTGGGCGTAGCCGAGAGCGCTTACAGGTGGCTGAGAGCAGCTGAGGCACAGAGCTGAAATCATGACATGCTGTGCTCTTTTAGAGCGTTTAGAGTTTAGAAACATTGTTTAGAATATTGCAAGAGTTTGGGAAGAGTTTAAAATGCCTTTATGTGTGTGTATATATATATATATATATATATATATATATATATATGTGTGTGTATATATATATATATATATACGTGTGTGTGTGTGTGTATATATATATATATATGTGTGTGTGTGTATATCAGAGTTTCTTTATTGTCATTCGCACCTCATGTGGTACATGTGGTGGAGCGAAATTATGTACACAGGGTCCCAGTTACATCCAACAATAAAATGTATAAGAAAAACAGTAATAACATCTAAGGTATGAACTAAGAAAAACATCAACTAAATATACACTAA